GTGGTGAGTAGAGAGTGATTAAGTAGCAGACAAAAGTCCCCACATAGGACAGTGAGAGTTCAGAGGAAAGGGTGAGTACTTTTGCTTGGGAAGTATTGCTGGGCTTCATGGAGAATACAGCATTTCAGTTTGGTTTTGGTGGGTGAGTTAGGGATTACAGAAAAAGGCCATATCAGGAAGAAAGAGTACCAAAAAACATGGATGCATAATGGATATGAATGATGACAGTTACAGAGACATACATATATGAGTAGAGAAACGTGCAGAAAGGAAAGAAGTAGCTGATGGAGGTAAACAAATGTGTTTGATCACATCAATACCAGGCAATGACAGATGCAGTAGTTTTTTTTTTTTTTTTTTTTGACAGGCAGAGTGGACAGTGAGAGAGAGAGAGAGAGACAGAGAGAAAGGTCTTCCTTTTGCCATTGGTTCACCCTCCAATGGCTGCCATGGCTGGCACGCTGTGGCTGGCACACTGCGCTGATCCAAAGCCAGGAGCCAGGTGCTTCTCCTGGTCTCCCATGGGGTGCAGGGCCCAAGCACCTGGGCCATCCTCCACTGCACTCCCTGGCCACAGCAGAGAGCTGGCGTGGAAGAGGGGCAACTGGGACAGAATCCGGCACCCCGACCAGGACTAGAACCCGGTGTGCCAGCGCCGCTAGGCGGAGGATTAGCCTATTGAGCTGTGGCGCCAGCTCAGATCCAGTAGTTCTTTAAAGTAGCAGAGAGTTGGAGAAAGCTAGATCATCATTTCGCAACTGAGTGTGAGCTCTTTTCAGGCTGTTTGGATACTATCTTCTTCAAGTTATTTAAAATTAAATTGTGAGTTTAGCTTCAAACACAGCAAAAAACTGTAGATTGACAAAGTATATAAAATTATCCAATGATTAAATAAAAATGATATTCCATTTACTGATAACAATGGCAATAGCTGTCTGTTAACTGAGTTGTGCAACTGTGGGCAATGGGACTCCCAGAGTGAGGGTGTCAAGAAAGGAGAGGGACTACAGTGTTAGACACAAGATAGTTGTTAAAAGAGATGTTGCAAAAAAAAAAAAAAAAAAGAGAGAGAGAGAGAGAGAGAGAGAGAGAGATGTTGCAGGTCAGCGCCACAGCTCAATAGGCTAATCCTCTGCCTGCGGCATCAGCACTCCGGGTTCTAGTCCCAGTCAGGGCGCTGGACTCTGTCCCGGTTGCCCCTCTTTCAGGCCAGCTCTCTGCTATGGCCTGGGAGTGCAGTGGTGATGGCCCAAGTGATTGGGCCCTGCACCTGCATGGGAGACCAGGAGAAGCACCTGGCTCCTGGCTTCGGATCAGCGTGATGCACCGTCTGCAGCGCGCCAGCTGTGGCAGCCATTGGAGGGTGAACCAACGGCAAAAGGGAGACCTTTCTCTCTGTCTCTCTCTCTCTCACTGTCCACTCTGCCTGTCAAAAAAAATATAAAAAAGAGAGATGTTGCAGAGTCAAATGCCCAGGTCTGCTGCTAAGTAAAGAAAGGAAAAGAGTAGGGGCCGGCATTGTATAGCAGGTTCAGTTACCTACAACACAGGCATTCCATGTGAACACTGGTTTGGGTCCCAGCCGCTCCACTTCCAAACCACTTCCCTGCTAGTGCTTGAGAAAGAAGAAAATGACTTCAGTGCTTGGGGCCCTGCCAGCCGTGTAGGAGACTTGGATGGAATTCCAGGCTCCTGGCATTGGCCTGACCCTTTCCCAAGTGTTGCAGTAGTTTAGGGTTGAACCAGCAGATGGAAGATTTGTCTCTTTCTCTCTCCACCCCCACCCTCTCTCTCTGTGACTCTCTCTTTCAAATAAAGCAAATAGATCTTAAAAAGGAGAATAATAATAATAATGATCATAATCATAGTAAGAAGGACCTCCTGGGAATGATAAGGAGCCTTGGGCTATTGAATGCCAGGAATAACCCCAGAGTCTTAGAGTTAGGAGTAGGCTGTAGGATTATTTACTCTACTTTTCTTCCAATTTTACTATAATTTTTAAGTGACTTGCTCTATTTTCTGATCTGAAATGTAATTGACAAAACTGAAGTTGGAAAGGAAGAATGACTTTTTTTTTAAGTGGGGTTCCTCTGAATAAACCTCATCCTTGACAAAAAAAGAAGACACAGTCTTTGACCTCAGGCAGGCTAAGGGTCAGAGCTCTGTGAATATCACCAGGTTAAGACATTCCTGTTACACTGGATTGGCACTGTGTCTTCCCCTCTTCCCCAAAGCCATAAATCAAACTCCTAACTTCCTTGGGAAAAGGGTCAGTACAGCTGTAATGAGTTAAAATGAGGTCATACTGGAGTGGGGTGGGCCCCAAATCCAACTGGGGAGCTTCAAAAAATTTTGGAAAATGTGTATTATTAAAAAAACTACAAGCACATTGCTAATATTTTTGCACAAAAATAAATTGATTTTTAATTCCCTTTTTTCCACAAATTTTTTGAAGTCTACTTGTATAATCAGAGTCCTTGGTAAAAGGGAAACTTAGACATAGTGTGGGAGAATGGCCCATAAACCTGAAGGCAGAGATCTGGGAGATGCTTCTGTTAGGTAGGAAGTCAGATGTGAGCTTATGTGTGTGTGCCAAAGGCCCAAGGAGACATTTAGGTCCAGCATATGCATCTCAAAGTCATCCCAATAACGTTTTGGGGGCAGCCCAGTATTTCATCCTGCCCTGCCCCTTCTACCAGATAACCTGCCAGGTGGGTGTCCCCGCCCCTTCTGCCTGATATCTGCGTTTCAAATATGCTGCTCAGGATCCTGACCCTCCAGGGGGTCCTGCCCATCCTTCCTCTAACAGGGCAATTCCAGCCAGGCTTCCCCCTGTCTGATAACTTCAAGGGGAAAACTCAGATAGGAGTTTTTAGTATTTATACCCATACAGTCTTTGTTTCAGGAGGAGATGTGAGAAGACAAAAACCCATCCCCTTAAAACCCCCCAGCCTCAACCAGACTGCGCGCTCAGCCCTCTGCCTCGCTGCTGAGCCGCCCGCCTGGCCTGCCCAGGTGTGCTCTCTCCATTCAATCATGTAACCCTGCTCTCCCCCTGTCTGAGCGACTGGGCGCTCTCTCTCAGGTTCTGTCTGGAGAGGTGCCCATCTGTTCTTACGGATGTCCCTACCCTAATAAACCTTGCTATTTTGCTTTCCACTACTCTCTGTCTCATGCCTGAATTCTTTCTTGTGCGAAGACAAGAACCCTGCCATTTACCCATAAACTTCTAGAGGCCAATGAGACAAAAGATGGCCAGTCAACTGCTAGAAGCTCTGAGGGAGACCTGGAATGCATTCCTCCTCACACCTGCCGAGGGAGCCAACCTTTGGACATCTTGATCTTGGTCTTCCAGCCTGTGGGACTGCCAGACAATACTAGCCACTTCATTCATTGTGTTTTGTTATGACAGCTCTAGGAAATTAATACAATGCCTAGGGAAGAAAAGATTACTCAGAAAGTAGGCCATGGGAAAGAAGTAACATTGTGTTAGAGAAATAATGAAGCTATGCATTAATTCATCCAAATGCTGTGAGAGTACAGGGTACCTTGCATGGCCCTGGAGCAGGTGCATCAGACCCGCCCTGCCTCTGAGAGGCTCCAAGTGTGGTTCCAATCAGGCACATAGCAGAAGTGAACATCATAGGGCCCCAAAGGATTGAGACAGGCAAAGGTTTGGATGCAGAAGGTGATATCTGAGCCAGGCCTTGAGGATGACTGTCTTTGCCTGCTGGTTGCTTAATGGAATTGATTATTTCTGTCTCTGGAAAAAGCCTCCTAAAAGTCCCTACTTGCTCCACACAGCCATCAAGGGGGCAAAACTACAGATTTGCTAAATTCATGCATTCCTGCAGGTCAAAAGCCAGCTGCAACACCCCAGGCAGTTGTCGCAATCCTCTGCCCTAGAAGGCCTGCCATTCCTCGGAAAAACAGCACCAGAGATGCTGGCCTCAGGCAGCTAAGACTCAAGTCCCTCTGGAGCTTCAGGCTCGTGCACAAACTGGCTTTAGAAATTCACCCTGCTGGGGGGGTCTTCCTATCTTGGCTGCCTAGACCTCTCTGCAGTGCTAAAAAGTCAGATTGTGTTATTTATTGCTAAAAACAACAACAAAAATAACTCCTTCTTTCCAAATATTCCATGCATGATAAGTCAGGACTTTAGCAAATCACAATGTTGATATTTTTAAGGGCTGTGCTTCCAGGCCCTGAAACAGGAGCCAGGTTTGGCCTCAGGATCATTTGGCTTTCCCATATTAGGGCCCCCCCCCCCACGGGCTTCTTAACTGTAGCTCCCTAAGACCACTGCTCTGAGCAACACTGCTAAGGAACACAGCAAAGAACAGAGCCAATTGCAACTACAACCACATGGGCCTAGTGGAATGATATCCAAAGTACTGCAGGGAGGGGCCTCTCTTCACTCCAGTTACTTCCCCATTGGTTTGACACATTCCCTGAAATTCCATTAAGATGATGGAATCTATTCCTTTAAATTCAAATGGGAAAACAACAGTGGGGGTTGATGTGGCAAGATACACATCAGTAGTCTGCTCTGCTTGTCTGATAATACTGGGAAAAGCTCACATACTCATCTGCTCCAGGCCCTAGGGTCTCCCTCTGGGTATTGAGGCCTCATTCACTGTGGTTGTTACCTGTCTGGTCCCTTGAGGCAAGTGTTTTGTAACCCTTGCTCAACTGATCCATGTATATCATTTTGGCCACCACCTAGGTAGAAATATTTTAAGATGTCCATCTCCAGTACATGCCCTCCCTTTAAATATGTTTCTTCTAATTGCCCCTGAATACTTTATCCTCAACTAACTCATCATCATCCATCATGAAACTATCTTTCTCCAGAGTTCCCTTTATCCAGTTTCCCAAGCCAGAAGAAAGGAAATCATCTCTGATGCTTTTTCCTCTAGCACATCAAATCAACCACTAAGACCTACTGATATAACTTCTTGAAGTTTCCTGTAACTGTTCACTCCTCTCCTTTCTTTCAGATACTTCCCCAGTTCAGGACTGCATTGTCTTCTACCTTAACTACTAGAAAACTTCCAGAAGGATCTCTGTGCTGTCAGCTCATTTCTGTCCAATCCTTTTTCCACTTACTAGCCAACGTATTGTTTAAAAAATGTAAATCTTCACCTGGAAGCAAACTACCTCAACATAACAAAGGTCATATTTCATCTGTTTTGGGATGACATGTCATTATATGTAGAAAATTCTAAAGATTCCATGAAAAACCATGAAACCTCTAAATGCAAACTCAGTACGCAAATATCAGCAAATTTCCACGCACTGACAATTAACAATAGAAAAAGGAAATAAGGGGGCCGGCACTGTGGCATAGTAAGTAAAGCCTCTGCCTGCAGTGCCAGCATCCCATATAGGTGCTCGTTCTAGTCCTGGCTGCTCCATTTCCGATCCAGCTCTCTGCTATGGCCTGGAAAAGCAGTAGAAGATAGCCTGAGTCCTTGGGCCCCTGCACCCTGTGGGAGACCCAAAAGAAGCTCCTGGCTTCAGATTGGTGCAGCTCTGGCCGTTGAGGCCAAATGGGGAGTGAACCAGTGGATATAAGAACTCTCTCCCTCTCTCTCTCCCTCTCTCTCTCCCTCTCTCTCTCTCCCTCTCTCTCTCTCTTTCTCCCCTTCACCTTTTTTTCTGTGTAACTCTTTCAAATAAATAAATATTTAAAAAAATAAAAAGGAAATAAGTCCATTTATAATAACATCAAAAAAGAATAAAATAAGAATAAATTTAAACAAGGAGAGAAAATCATTGTACTTGAAAACCACAAAACATTGCTAAAAGAAAGTCAGGAAGGTACAAATAAATTGAAAGATATTCCAGGTTGACGGATTGGAAGACTTAATATTGTTAAGATGTTAATACTGCCCAATGCAATCTATAGATTCAATGTAATCCCTGTCAAACTCTCAATGATGTTTTTAGCAGAAATCTTTTGGATTGTTCTATTGAAGTTTATCCTAAAATTTATGCAGTATCTCAAACCAAAACAACCTTGACACAGAACAAAATTGTATGGGTGCCAAGACCATCCAGTGGAGGAAAGGAAAGTCTATATTCAACAAGAGGTATTGGGACAAATGGATATACACACGATGGAAAATGAAGTTGTACTCTCACCTTACAACTTATGCAAAATTAACTCAAAATGGATCAATGAGAGTTAAAATTATTAAAAAATTAGAAATAATATGAAGAGAAATGTTGATGAAAGTGGATTTGATTTCTTGTATATGGCATCAAGAGTGTAGGCAACAAAATAAAAAATAAATCAGTTGAGCTTCATCCAAATGAAAAACTTGTGTATCAAAGGACACTATAAACAGAGTGAAAAGAAAACCTATGGAATGGGAAAAATACTTGAAAATAATGTATTTTTAGGGGATGGTTATTTAGAATACATAAAGAACTTCTACAGTTCAGTAACAAAAATATCAAACAATACAATCTGTTTAATTTTATTTTTTAAAGGTTTATTTTATTTATTTCAAAGTCAGAGTTACAGAGAGAGGTCTTCCATCCACCGGTTCACTCCCCAAATGGCTGCAATGGCCAGAGAGGAGCCAAGAGCTTCCTCTTGATCTCCCGTGTGGGTGCAGGAGCCCAAGGACTTGGGCCATCCTCTGATGCTTTCCCAGCTATAGAGAGCTGGATCAGAAACAGAGCAGCCTGGACTCGAACTGGAACCTATATGGGATGCCAGAGCGGCAGACCATGGCTTTAATGTGTTGCAACACAGTGCCAGCCTCTCCACAATCCAATTTGAAAAGGAGCAAATGATTTGAACAGACATATAAAATGATCAATAAGCATATAGGCAATTCAAAACTGCAATGAGATACCACTTCACGCCAATTATCATAGCTTAAAAAAATCAACCAACCAACCTATCAATCAACTAATCAAACAAAAATGCCACAAACAGCAAGTTTTGTGAGAACGTGAAGAAATTAGAATAACGTGCATTCCTGGTGAGAAAATCAAATGGGACAGGAGCTATGAAAAAACATGGCAATTTCTCAAAAAATTAAACAGAATTACTGTATAATACATCAATTTTACTTTTAGTTATACAAAAGGGATTCAAAATGATCATGAAAACTGCATATTGTGGAATTTTAATAATGAGGCATGAGTTCAAAAATGTTGTACACCAAAATAAAGTTATATATTAAATCCAGTTTTCCATGAAGTGTTAAAAATACCTTCATATATCCAAGTGAATCAGAAGCAATACTTGAACAGATTTCGTACACTAATGTTTATAGAAGCATTACTCACAATAGGTAAAAAAGTAAAACCAACTTGAGTATCTAAAGAGGGAGGACTGGATAAACAAAATGCGGTATATATACAAGTATGGGATCCACACAAAGGAATATTATTCAGCTTTACAAAGGAAAGAAATTCTGACACATGCTACAGCTTGGATGAATATTGAAGGCATTGTACTAAGGGAAATAAGCCAATCACAAAAGGAGAAATATTATATGATGACACTTATCTGAAGTATGTAAAATGAACAAATTCTTGGAGACAGAAAGCAGAATGGTGATTGCCAGGAGCTGGAAGGAGGGGAGAATGGGGGATTCATGTTTACTGGGTATGGTTTCTGTTGGAGACAGTTTTTAAAAAGTTCTGGATGTTGGTTGGTGGTGGTGATGCTTCCACAATAATGTGAATGTTCTCAAGGCCACAGAACTGTATACTTACAATGGTAAACTTTGTGCTAGGTATATTTTACCACAATAAAAAAAATGTAAATCCAGTGCAGCCTTACTTAAGACCCTTAAATGTGGTCCCATCATCTTTGGGGTAATGGTTGTCCTTTTGAGCTCACAAATGGTCTTTCTTCTTCTGATTAGATCTATATCCCTTTCTGATCTCTTTTTCTGATTTATAGCTGTCTTCTTCCAATAGTAAGTAAATTCTTATAGTTTCCCAAAAAGAAGGCAATTTAGCCACCTGACTGCATTCAGTCTCCTCTGCCTGTCTTCAGTGGTTCTCATTGCTGGCTGCAGATTTAAGATCAATCGGGAATTTGAATAAATACTAATACCTGGGTAGTCCTCAAAACTAATTAAATGAGAAATCTCCCCAGAGGGGGTCCAAAGATAAACATTTTAAACTCCACAGAAGATTTCAGTGGGCACCCACTATTCTAGAACATAACCTTCCACCTGTCAGAGCCTCTTTAGCTAATTCATGTGTTCTTCAAAATTCAGCTCAGATATCTCCTCCACCCAAAAGTCTCCCCTGATGTCACCCAGGAGACCAACTCCAGCACTCACGCTCTGGGCATCCACAGGTTCCCAGGGCAGTTCCCCCATTATATTGTAAGTATCTCCACTTCTCTATATTCTCCATCAAAGGCTGAACTCCTTGAAGGCAGGGGTGCTATTTATTCATCCTGGTTGTCCCTGTTGCAGAATATGGTAAGGGTCCCAAAGGTGAGCTTCTCTTTCCCTCATTGCCTTCCGCTTGAAGGCAACGAACCCACCCAATTGGGGCCATCTTCCCGGAGACTTACGCCAGTGTGGCAAAAGGCAAAATTAGAATCCCAGTCCTGGACTCTCCTTATTTAACAATTTAACACCTGTAAGGATCACTTGGTAATTTTCCCAGACTTTTTGAAGCAACAGCTGGAGAATGGCTTACCATCAAGAATACTCCCATGGCTTATCTTAGTGTGGATGGAGAGACTGCCTTCCTAGTGGAAACGCAGTTGATTGGAGAAATGGGGTTAAGTAGTAAGGAGGCAAGAGTTCAGGGTGTGGCCCAGATACATTTTACCAGAAGCTTATCAAATAAAATTGCCTCTCTGTTTTTTTTTTTTTCTTTCTGTTTTTCATCTATCAAGTGAAGATAGCAGTACTTTGCTTTCTAGCTCACTGGCTGTTTTGAAAGTCAAATCTGCCCACCCACAAAGAGCTGAATGGAGAAATTCAAGTGTATTCATACAAAGACTACTGTATAACATTGTGAACTAATAAATTACAACTATGCACAGGGCAATGGATAAATCTCACTTAATGTTGATGAAAGAAACCAGACATTAAAGAGTATAACACCACGCAATCACATTCACATAGAAAGTACAAGAGTAGACACTAACTGGCCTATGCTGTTGAAAGCCAGGATAGTGGCTTGGCGGGGGTGAGCAGTGACCAGAAGGAGGCCCAGTGGGACTCCTGGGGAGCTGGTAATGTTCTACTTCTTCATCTGAGTGCCCATTACTAAGATCTGCTCAGTTTATAAAAATACATTAAGACATACCTTTATGTATATATGATATATTGCATTATAAAACTTTTGAATCTAAACCAAACAGCACATATAAAACACAGAAGCACTATGTAATGTTAATATACAGTGGTAGTGATTATAAAAATATACATAAACATAGATGTACCAGTATATGCCTGAATGTGTATGCATATGCATATACATATAATTATATATATGCAATATATATGTATAATCTACTTTTATTGATGTCTTCTACTGTAGACATGGTGGCAAGCACTTCACACATGTTATCACATAATCTTTACATAAATTCCATTTTTCACAAGAGGAAATGGCAACCAGAGAAAATAAGAAATTTGTTTAAGAGCAATGTGATCTTGGGCAAAACGTAAGTGTACCCAAACTCAGACCTCTGACCAACTCACCGTAAAGCTTTAGAGAGAACACAGGCTTTAACATCAGAATCGCAGGGACCAATTCTGTGGACTTGGATACATTTCCTGACCTTTCTGTTGACTCAATTTCCTCATCTTTAATATGGAGATAATAATACCTGACCTTTTGCAAGTCACAGGCAGTGAAGATTAATTGAAAGGAAATGAGAAGAAGAAAGAAGAAAGATCTATGACTGAGTCATCCAGGCTCTCTGGGGCTGCATGGACATACACAGGGAAGTCAGGGGATGAGCTGCGAGGCGAGGTGAATGGGAATGGGAGGAAATGGACATGGAAATGAGAGAAGGAAAATAAAAGGGAAGAGAACTCTATAAGAAAGATTTTGGAAACACTTGTGTCTCATTTACTGATGCGAAAGTAACTACCAATATGAGGGTACTTCAACAAGATGCTGGGCAAATAGGATTAAAAGGTAATACATATTTGCCACAAAATCAGACAAACTATCTTTCACATTGATTTTCCATGATTTCCAAAGGCAACATGATGCATTAGAGAGAGTACCCTGAGTTATAAACTGATGTCTCAATGCCCTGAATCTCTAGCTCCTTATTTGTAAAGCAGAAAGATCCACGCTTCCCTGACTCCCTGGGCAGAACAAAGCAAATGAAGAGACTCTTCTTTCTTTCTTTCTTTCTTTCTTTATTTATTTATTTATTTATTTATTTTGACAGGCAGAGTGGACAGAGAGACAGAGACAGAGAGAAAGGTCTTCATTTGCCATTGGTTCACCCTCCAATGGCCGCCGCGGCCGGCGCGCTGCGCTGATCCGAAGGCAGGAGCCAGGTGCTTCTCCTGGTCTCCCATGGAGTGCAGGGCCCAAGG